GAGCAAGACGGGTGAAGAAAAGTCCCCCCTGTTAGCGCTGGAGAGCGGAGACGAGGGGTCAACTGATCTGTGACCAGCGTGTCGCCACCTCAATATAAGCCCATCTGTCACGTCTGAGGCCTCTATTTAAAGAAATGAAGTTGCAAAGTAGCATGTCCTGTCTGCAGCGACAGTGGAGCTGTCTCACAGCATTTAATGACCGCGTAAAGAGCCGGGGAGAGTTCAAATGTAACGTGTAGGAGAGTGACGATTAATCGTTTACAGATAACAGAAACGAGAATGCAGAGAGCTTCTCCAAGTTGTGCGCTTTCTTGTATTTCTGTGGTTGATTTGAGTTTTCTGTTCTGCAACATCCAAAATGAGCATAATGGAAGTCTGTACAGATTAATAAGGTTTGGTACATTTTACGTGCAACAATAATGTAATTATTGGGGAAAGAAGCAATAGTTTATTATTAGCTGTTAAATTATAACAATTACAACCACAATTCTTCCTTATCTCATATATCTAAATGAAAAGTATATGTTTTAAGTATAAAAAAATGAAACGCCACTTTAGTCAGACAGATTGGAAAGAGCGCCACGTCTCGCATGGCTGTTGCCCATGGTAACCCAGTGCTTTTTGGATGAGTGGAGACAAGGGGGGGGGGGGGGGGGGGGGGGGGGGTGGAGGTTGGCAAATGGATTTGTAGAAAAGAGTCTGAAGTGTGCAGGAGTCTGGCTATTTATTTGGCCTCAATCTGGTGGTGTTTTTTGTGAGATTGTGAAGGTTCTAAGTGCAGTGAAGGATTGTGGGTAATGACACTTTTCAGATCGGATGCTGCAGACGTCTGTGTGTGAACGTTAGTGTAGAAACAGGTACTGTGGCTCTTAAGCTTGCTACAGACTGCTGTACTGGTCTTCTCGTTAGAGTTGCATTCATTTTGCATCACTGGTTTTATTTAATGTTGCTGTAAATGCATCCTCTAGTTGCAGAGATCTTAAAAGACGAGACCGGCATTACTAGGATTTCTGTACGGGTTGTTGCTGCTGCAGGAGTGGGCCGACGCATGTGTACAATAGAAGGACTCCTGCTGTGATTAGCTGCGAGCAAAAACATGCAAATAGTCACGAAAAGGATTAATTGCAATAGAAGTTTCGATACTACTGTGTTGTTTTGGTCGATTCCTTTTGAGGTAAAAGTTCAACCTTTCTCCATGTGCATGGCCCAATGCATGCTGTGCAGCGCAAAACAAAAGATAACTAAATACAATTTTACACAATGTAGAGGCAAAGCTCGATTCAAGAAGACATGCAGTGTTGCCTCTTATCTTCTGAATCCTCGCTCGTTTTGGTTTTTCATGCGTTTCTGGCGAGCACCTTCACTCTGACTCCGTCTACTTTGAGAGTCGGAGCATGATTGTCATTCAGGCAGCATGCCGCTCCTTGGTTGGATGAGGTCACTACAAAGCCCCGCCCCGCATCTCAAGCCAGGAAGTATCGATTTCCTTTAATTGGACAGACTAATGAAAGGAGGGGGAGAATGGGGTAGCACTCCTCATCTCCATTGTTGAGGTCTGTTCAGAATCTCACATCTTTTGATTCTACCGCTGATCCCGAGGAGACAAATCCACATTTTTCTTCCCACTCTTGTCTGTTTTTACTCATATTAGGGAGACTGTGGTGTTACCTTAACCCCACCTTACATGTGTTCTGCATCGCGCTCACGCCGCTGAATGAGGGAACTCCAGTTATTTTCAAATATAAACGGCACCTTGTTGTTTTCATAAAGGTCGGATATTGTTTAAAACACCCATTAAGGAAGCGTGAATATGCAAATGTGCATTGATAAGGTCGATATTTGAATAAAGCTGATTTTGAAAAACCTCTCTTGACCTTTCATTAACTTGTTTTTGTATTTTTCCATCCAAGAGGAAAGAGATGCGTAGAATAAAAATAACAAGTGTTGCTCAATGTTTCAACCATCAAAACTGCACTATTTAGCCCTCATATAATACATGTGTAGTTTTAACCAAAAACTAAATCAGTAAGTCACCAAAATGTGGCCTTAAAGGTGATGACAAGCAGAAAAATGACACACCCGCTTCATCTGAACCTAAGAGCATGATGTGTTAACCAGATAAGATCATAATCGCATGACGTCACGGCCGAGTACTTTGTCAGGCAGATTAGCCGATACAAGTACAGCCTCTGTGAAAGCATGCTGATTGTATTTAGTTGTTCAGTAAATCAGTAACGCACGTATATTTGTGTAGCAACTGTTAATCAATTCAAGAATTATTTTTCGGGGGTTTTTTTCAACCTGTTTTTCGTCCTCGTGACAAACCGTCGCATGTTCTCCGACTTCTCTTCAGCTTTTAACACACATTTACCCGAGAAACGCAAAAAAAGAGAAGCTATGGTGAGAAATTCTAATTTATGGGTTAAATGTTGTGTTCAGTGGTGTAACTCTTCTTTTTCTCCATTTATACCAAGCTGAGTGTAAACTATGTTATCATGTTAGAGTTAGGGAGGAGAGACATTGTGTTAAACAATGGGGAAACATCCCCGGCATGACGATCACTGTTATTACAGGCTTTACGCTGCAATGTAAAACGATACGGATGCAGCAGGTAGAGATTGAAAGCAACATTATTATACACACACGTGTGTACACGTGTTACAGACATTGAGTTCTCCATGGTAACTGGTCTTTGATGCATGTGTCCCATGTTCCCAGAGCCCCGGCCGTTTCTAGTGTCACGTGCACACACACATGTTCAGATGAGAGCAGCAGCCTGAGGACATGGCGTAAGCTTTCAGAGAGGAAACAAACACCCGGGACCGTCGGGGAAGTAAAGCCACAGAGTGAGGGCGCTGAGACGGAGCGGTGGGAGGATGACGTGAGAAAGATGGAGTGATTAGAAAAGGTTTGCCCGGCTGCAGCGGCCAGGCCTGCGTGCTACAGATGGATTTAGATGTGGCAGATGTGTTAACGTTGGTCCATTGTGCATATGCTATTGAGAAAGTCACAGCAGTCTTACTCATGAAGCAGATTATTGGAGATGCTTTTGAATTATTGGACCCCTTTTTAACGACAGTATTTCATTTCCAAAAGATAATAGAAGGTGGGTAACCGGCTGAGTGTAAATGATGTTGGGTAGGAGGAACACATTTCTAACGGTGTGAAACTTCCCCGGCATCACCAGAGTTCTCTGATTAACGCTCTGGATGCAGCAGGTAGAGGATAATGAGAAGATAAATTATTACACACATCATCACAAAGTAAAGACAGGAGTTCACATTTCAACCAGCGTGGTTGTGTGTCATGGTGGCCCAGTAGTGTGAGGTGCTTCCCACACATCCAGCTGGAGACCTTCGTTGCATGTCGTCCTCCATCCCTCCCTGATTTCTTCTCTCCAGCCTCTCGACTGTAGACAATCATAAAGGGCTAATTGCCAATAAATACTGAAGAGGCGATGCTGTTGCTTTGTCTCTCAAAGCACCTTGTAAACTCTGTTTTTAAAGGTGCTATATAAATAAAGTTATTATGATTATTATACCATCCATCCATCCATTTTCCTCCGCTTATCCGGGGTCGGGTCACGGTGGCAGCAGGCCAAGCAGGCTGACCCAGACTTCCCTCTCACCGGCAACATGTTCCAGCTCATTCTGGGGGATCCCGAGGCGTTCCCAGGCCAGCTGGGAGATGTAATCCCTCCAGCGTGTTCTGGGTCTTCCCCGGGGTCTCTTCCCAGTTATTATACCACTAGGCTCATACCATACGACTTGTTAGCCAGTATGAAAAGATTGTTAATAAAACTCGTAAACTGTACAAAAACAGCTCCACTACTTTCTGGCATTTTATTGGCCGAACAATAGCTCGATTATTCTAAAGAAAAATGATCAGCAGATGAATAGATAACGACACTATCTGTAGGTTGTTGCCCTGATTGAATAATAGCGTCATAAAGTGACTTAAGGGGTCATTTAAAGTACTCTTTGAGGAGACTCCACTAAAGCAGAATTCTACCAGATGAACCACATTACGTCTTTTGAAGTAAAGATGAAAACAAAACTTTCACTGCCATAAAGATCCACCAGTGTTTTAGCGGCGTGCTAGCTCGTAGCCAGCGCTGGCTCTACGAGCTCCTGTTGGAGTATTTTTGTACATTCGGTTTAAGAGCCACATTGAAGCAGCGAGTCATTGGGCCCGCTTCTCTCTCGTGTGTTGAGCCTCGGTTTAGCGCTGTGCAGCCAGCCAGCCAGCCGATGCCATTAGTTCAGTCATCCTCTCCGCTCAGCCCTTGGAGATTTGCCGCTGTAGACACAGAAGTGAACAGCTGAGTTCACCTCAGCCCTGTTGTGTGTGAGGAAGCACACTAATTGGTTTATCAAGTAGGTTACACAACACCACTTTCTAACGTCCTGTAGCTAAAGTCTATTACATTTTCAAATAATAACGCTGAGCTCAAGTGGGATTAATTTTTTATATTATATATATTTTTTAAAGGTATTCCGCTCCAAATCACACCGTGAACATTTACTTAGTCGGGATTTCAGTAAAAAAGAAAAAAGTGTCCATGTGGGAAATCATATAATGCCGTATTAACTTTTTCTTTGCGGACCTGCGCCGTCTGTTTTACGAGCCTTCTCACGATACTTCAAATAAAGATCCGTGTCTCTTGCACACATGACACGGGACGCTCCTCAGACGTCTCAATATCTTCCCTGCATGTCGTGGGACTCTGCTCCTCGCTGCCTTCCTCCATCCCTGCGATGCTTTAATTACTTTATCCCTCGCTTCTCTCATCCCTTTCCCCTTCACTCCATCGCCCCGAGCTGCTCCTCATTCCTTTTAATTAATCCACACAGATTTAGACACCTTCACCCTGCTGTGAATGAGTGCCCCCCACACACACACACACACACACACACACACACACACACACACACACAC